TTGTCTTTGTTGTCGTCGGTTGTCTTTGTTGTCGTCGGTTGTCTTTGTTGTCGTCGGTTGTCTTTGTTGTCGTCGGTTGTCTTTGTTGTCGTCGGTTGTCTTTGTTGTCGTCGGTTCTCTAGGTTGGCGCTACGTAATGTGAGGGTCTCACGTATCCGTAGATGAGTGATCAATATTAAAGAAAGCTATAGTCGACTCTAGATACAAGACGTAGCGCGAGGAAGCAAAAGGAACGAGCTTCCTCGCGTTCAGGGGAACCCATATGCACCATGTGGGTCCCGCAGATCATTTCTCCAAACATCCTGTATACTTCATGTGAATCCATGACACCGCCAACATACCTCCCAGAAGCAGGTGGGCCGCTTCCTAGGAACAGTCACACCATATCCTGGGAGCCGTATCGCTCCCAGGAGTACTTCCTCACAATCCTAGGAGTACGTCCTCACAATCCCAGGAGTACATCATCACAATCCCAGGAGCCTGTATAGCTATAACAAGCAGACAATCTCCTTTGGTGATGACGGCAGCAATACTCAGGCATTTCTTTTGGAACATATTTAAGTGAGGCATTGGGCTCGAAAATTGGTAGCTGTCAATTCTTTAAATCCGACTATACAAACTATCAAGATGCCTCCACAGAGAAGACAACTGGCGTCGCATCGCCCGAGCCCCTTTCCCTTATACAACCCCCGTCGAGGTCAGTATGGAACAAAAGTATAAAGCCAGATTCGACCTGACATTGAAACAGACACCCAACACCCAGCACAAAGATTTGAGGGAATTATCACGAACATATACGCTGAAATGTCAAAAATGCAACATCAGCAGCACGAGGCAATGATTATGCTGCGAAATTATGACAACGTGTTACGCAAGCAAGCAACCGAAAAAGCTGAACTGGAGGAACAGAACCGGTGGTTTTTTGAGCACATCAAGACAACTCACCAAAAAGCTTGTGACCTAGAGCTCAAGAATAGGGAACTAGAGTACCAGCTGGCGAAGGAAAGGCATGAGCGCCCGGACCACCCCGCAGAAAAGCAGAGTTAAACGCCTTCTCTACATACCGCTGTTGCTATTCCTCCGTTTATCGATTGTGTTCTGAGGATTTCAGACAATCAGCTTTGGGGACGACTATTGGAGGAATTCTGGGTCTGCTTGCCGGCTGGGTGAACGTTCCTGCTTTAACGGTGCAAGAAAAATACCGAAGGATTGTTTTATGCGGGAACTGATATCATGTTTGTGAGGGAGTACACCAGTACATTGCTGTGCCTGAGCCAGCAAGAAAAGGACCGGTTGGAAAGAGAGCCGACCTATCACCTCCAGAACTGCAGTGGATACATTTTCTTGCTAGCCTCAGAAAGAACCATGAACAATGAAATGCCCAGCCGGCTCTATAAGTAGCTCATTCCTCCTTTCTCCTCACACGCTGCTGGTAACCAAGAAGAATGCCCCCATTCGGGCCGGACTTGCATCGATGGGTTGCTGAGACTTCTCTCCCTAACTTGTATGCCATCTGTGCCGCTTTGATTCTAGCAGCCTGGCTGATATATTGGATTGGACGTGATTTGTGGCGGTGGGCGTGGAGAAGACGCCATGGTGTCTTTTTTCATCCATTCCAATCGAGAATAAGACACTCTTGGCGACGATTTGCCTACGTCCATCTGCCCAAGGGTATGGCCTGCTTAGACATTCCAAAGTACCGACAAGCACTACTACTGGCGGTCATGCTCGCAGCAAATATTTTTGGCCTCCGCTTTCGAACCCAACCTTGGACGCAAGCACAGAAAAGAGCCGGCTCGTTGGCAGTGATCAACCTCATCCCCCTATGTTCCGGCGTGAGCTTTGGCCTTCCCGCCGATCTGCTCCACGTAGACCGACAAATGCTCGCGTGGTTCCATCGCTGGGTCGGTCGCATCTGTGTGCTTCATTCTATTTTGCACGGCTCGCTGCTCGTGAGTATCGCCAGAACAACGACGCTGGCAAGCCCGCGCTACGTCGTCCCAATAGCCGTAGGTGTTAAACTCCTGGGCCCCTCGCCTGCCATTAATGAGGGTGCATACAGCTGATCAAGTACAGGCAGGATGCGCTCTTATTCTTGTCATTCCCGTGACCTGCGCAGCGGTCCGACGGCGCCATATGCAGTTTGCGATGAAATGCCACTACCTTCTCGCGACGACGTCGATTGGCGCACTCTTTTACCACCTCGTGGAACGACAGTCATCATATCGGTGGTACTTGACAGGCGCTGTATGCCTATGGCTGTTCATCAGCGCCGCTGTATGCTTGATGGCCATATGGGACCAAAAGCCTTGGAAACATCCCCGAAACGAGGTAATAATGAACTCTGTGAGCAATTTCCTCTGGCTTGACATCACGATACCCCTCAACCGAGCGATTCACCCTGGCCAGTACGTCCGGCTCTGGATGCCTCGGACCAGCTTTCGCGCTTTCTTTCAGCTTCCTATTTTTCACATTGCATTTTGGGAAGACGGACCAACGCAGCGAACAGTTCGTATGGTGGCCGAGCCTCGACTTGGGCTTACGCGGAAGCTGTACCACGATGCACTGCAATCGCCAAGCAAGCAGCTGGTCACCGTCCTTGGCCCGTATGGACACCCTCTCAGTTTCCATCGGTTCGGTACAATCCTCTTCGTGGTGGAGGACATTGGGTTTTTCCGAGCGCTATCATACATCGACAAGCTGGTAGAGGCCAGTCGCAAGCGCGAAGTGATGGTGCGAAAACTTGAGGTTATCTGGAAGCGCCGAGTTGGCAGTGATGGTATGTTTCTGTCTTTGATATATATACCGGAGAGTCCGGGAACCGCTTTCGTTGACTGAATATCCGCAGGGTATCCACCATGGGTGGATGAATGGATGCAGGAACTTCTAAACCGCGATTGGAGAGCGTTCAAGGTAGGCTTACTTCGAGAACCAAGTGACGCCGAGTGCCCCGGTCTTACCGATTTCCAGATTCTGCAATTCAGCATCTACTGCCCGCGCACCCAATCAGGCCCGGAAGAGGATCTTGTCTGTCAGAAGGGTGAAAGACTCTGGTACTTTTATGGCTCGATCAAAATCGAAGAAACGAAAAAGTTGCGCAGCATATTAGTAATCGATGCGGAGCTGTGGCCGTGGCGGGTGAGTGTCTCCAATTCTGATCTCGACCAATCGTGGAATAAAGTGAAATTGGCTGCTGTCAGGTGCTGACACCCTCTTGTGTAGTGTGTGCGAGTCCAGCAGTACGCGAGGCTGTGAGAAGAACTGTCCAGTCGCAGGCCGGAGGAATCCTCCAGCTGATTATTTTTGACCCCGCCACCTGCCCTGCACGGACCGGAGACGAAAAGTTGCACGATCGTGACCAGCCTTCAGTGGGGGACCACCTCCAGCCACCGCCACGAACTCGAGGCGAGAATAAGAAAATCTAACGGCTTCGACAACCTCCCACAAACGACAAGAAGCCACAGCACTCTTTATCTAGGGAAGTTGAGATGCAAATCGAAAGTGTTCAAATGACCAACCACTCGAAGTAGGTCGAAAATAAACTGGCCCAGGCCCGCAGCAAACCCACCATCACAATAACCGAGTTATGAACTTCTGGCAACCTTGACTAAGCTTGATAGTGTACAAAGACAAAACACAAAAAATTTTAAAAAAAGCCACGTTTATCCAAATGCCCTGAGTGACTTGTACGCGACTCGATGAAAACAAATGGAGTGGTTCTTTGGCCAGCGCGGTGCTAGTTCAAAGTTTGATATGGCGAAGCTGCTCGTTGGTAAACTTACAGCCTAATTCACTATCTCATCCGCCGGCAGTTCATGTATCACGGGGAGCTTCCCATGATAGGCTTGAAGTATAGCCTTGTTCGCCGCGCAGTTGGTCCTCCTTCGCGAGCAGATCCCTTCCGAAGGAAAAACTATTGGATATCTTGAATGACTGCTATGATAGAAAGCTGAGCGGCGACCATGGCAAAGCTGACACCGAAGTACGTCAATTTGTGGCCCGAGTTCTGGTGGGTTGCCGTGGGCGCTTCGTATTATAGACCCAACACATTCCATGCGCGTCTCTTGGCTGGCCTCGCTTTGATGGGGTTTCAATTGATGATAAGATCTCTTGGCTCTACTGCTCAGCGTACCATTAGTATTCCATATTTCAGATAGTTGATAAGTTCCTCGTACCTTGCATCCATCCACAGTTTAGTGCCAATGAGCCAATGCATAGCTGTGTACGGGCTGGAAATAATGCGATAGATTTAGAGACATATGGGCCCGAAAATGCATAGGTTATAAGATATTTGATATCACATTCATGGAGCTATTATGTCTTGAGTTCTTTTAATGGAGACCTTCCGACGCCTGTCGGCGGCTTCATCGAAGACACATTCTCGGGCATGATTTGAGCATTCGGTACTATGGGGAGGGCCGGTACACCTAGTGCGGCGTTTTTGACACTCCGTACAAGCTGTCGAAGCTCGCCTCATGCGTGTCTCTTCTTGTCCACTGCCACCAGTTGGACTTCCTCCTCTGCCTAGAAGCTGAAATCTAGGTGCGAGAGGCTGATAGCCTTGAGGTGTTGGTTCACTCATCGGTCAGATTCTAATAGACACGGAAAACAGTGCACGACAAAACAAATTAGAAGCCAAACCCTCTAATTCACCAGACACCAGCTGAAAGCATAGTCCGCAAACATGGCCTTGGACTGGTAGATCGGGTTTTCGTCTCTTGATCGCAGGGCATGCATTTTATTGCCTGTCTCTAGCGTCTTGACACCATCATTATGCCCGGTTATACATATAATCACAATAAATTTCCGTTGAGGATGCACAGAATGGCCAAAAAGAATAATAGACCTGATTTATTCGTTCATATTCAATCTAAACACAGTGAAAGAAGTAAGATGTTCATTGAATATTAGCTATACAACATCTTCCGCCCTAAATGAGACGCATTTCCTAATACCCGGGCACCGCCCGAAACTTTTTTTTTTGCGTTAACTGATTGATAAATTCATTTGCCCGACGGTTCAAGGATTTGACAGTGCTGGAAATATGCTGTAGTGATCATGTCACAGCATTCTGGTCTAAGCCGCTCATGTTTTGGGGCCTACACTTTGACCAAATCGAGCCAAGGCTTCACTTATATCCCAAGGATGGATACAGCACTCGAGAACTGCCAGCTTGTTTGGTTCTCTCAGAACTCGATCAACTGCCAATAGCAAATCGTCATGGGTCTTGATGCGCATTGCAAGTAGAGCCGAACTGTTTTGATCGCTTCTTTCCACCTCCGTCAGGTATTTATTCCCGTTTCCGGGGCTGTGAGATATATTACACAGGGTCTCTGCAAAGCTGGCATAATTCCAATTGCTGACGTAATTATAGGGACCGTCGTGGATTGCACTCTGATAGATTTGAATAATTAGTTGTTAATCCAAAGCTGGCGTCGAGACTCTTACCTCGATTCTGTATCCCATGTTATTAAAGAGGAAAATCACTGAGTTTGTCTTCAGTCGAATCATCGTGCTCAGTTCCTGAGCTGTCACTTGGAAGCTTCCGTCTCCAATCATTAAGATTGAACGTCCTTCTGGCCGGGCAAGTTGAGAACCCAGTGTTGCTGGTAAAGCCCATCCGATAGAACCATACAACATCTGCATTTGATAGTCTACTCCAGGGGGGAGTTTGATCATCTGCGCATTGAACCAGCTGTCACCAGTTTCCGCTATCAAGGTGTCATTAGGTTGCAGTAATGACTGGATTTCCTTCAAAATTCCTGCCCTCGTGAGGGGCTGGCTAATAGAAGTTTGCATATCTATCCATTTCGGGGGGTCTTCCGCATGGCTGGCGGAACCGTTGCTCTTCATGCAGTAGCTGGTGAGATTGGAAGCGACAATACACTCCGATAGATCAGCCATTGTGGCGGGACCGATCAAACTGCCATTCGGTGCCCGAAGATGATCTAGGCTCAGATCTATAAGCGGGGGTATGGGCCCCTTTACCAAGTTATAATCGGTCGAACGTGTCCCGATCCCAACCCATAAGTCAGCACCCATCATCACATCCAGGCATGCTGAGTCTGAAATAGACCCCCAAAAAGTCCCTTGGAATTGGGGATGTACTTCAGGGACTATGGACTTGGCGTCAGGTTGACAGAACACGGGGCATCCCAACTTCTCGATTAAAGAAAGCAGAGTATCCCGGGTTAGGCTGTGTCGTGCAAGTGGACCAACAAGTATCACCGGGCTCTGCGTGTCCTGCCAGTAGCTGTTGAAGAGATCCAATGTGTCCCTAAGAACACTAGGTAGAGATACTTGTGGTTGCTGGAGAATGAGCGATTTGGGAGCGTCACAAGGGTACTCGACAATATTGGCTGGGATCTCGATATAAACCGGAAGCGATTTCTCAAGACAACGGAGAAGTGCCTGATCCAGGACAAATGCTGGATCTGCTTTGGGATCTAGACGGACGGAAGCCGTAGTCACATGTTCAAACATCCGGATTGCCTGGTCTCGCTCTTTCAGCCCAGTGGTATGATGAATCAAATCATCCTGTCCAAATGTGTCAGATGGAGGAGCTCCGGAGATGACGATGACCCGCAGTCGTTCAGAATATGCGCCGGCAATTGCGTTGAGCAGCGAGAGCCCTCCGACCATAAAGGTGACAAACACAACTGCGGTCCGAGCTGGAGATGATCGCGAGTACCCATCGGCAGCATAGCCGGCATTCAATTCGTTGCAGCAACCCACCATCCGCAGGTTGGCGTTTTTCAAAATCTGGTCGATGAGAGTCAGGTTAAAGTCCCCTTAGGAACCCAGTCAGCATTGTCCTCGCAGTCAGAGCCTCTCGCAGACCGAGCCTTACCGGGAACGACGAAATAATCCCTAATCCCAATTTCTTCCAGGCGCGATGCCAGCAATGTCCCCATGTTATATTCGCTGGGAGTAAATTTTGGGCTTATCCCTATTGAACAATTGACCATGGTCTCGGGACTAGGAATTTTCAGCACAGTTCGTCCCTGCATCTTGCCCTGTTCCATTTTCTCAAAGACCGTAGGGAGTTCTTCAAGGGAGGATATTTGATACTGAATGCGAAAGCGATTATTCGCATAGATTTCCAGTGCCTCTTCGGTCTCAATAGAACTGCCAACGTAGGAACCCTTCACCATTTTTTGCTTTACGACCGTAGAAAACAAGTCGGCCTTGATGATAGCATTCTTAGGCAGACCAACAACAACGACGGTTCCTTTTGGTCGGATGTACTGTTTGCACGATTAGTGTAACGGCAAAACAGTATTTAATGCCATGAAGCTTACCTGAATTGCTTGACCAATTGGCCTCTCCACTGATGCGACCACAATAGCAGCATGAGGTCCACCCCCTGTAAGTTCCTGAACTTCAGGAATTAGACGCTCTTGAGAGGCGATGTAGTCCACGAAGTAGTCAACTCCAATCTCCTTCACCAGCATAGCTTCCTTGCTGGACCCTGCCGAAAGGGCGAGTACACGATATCCAAGTGCTTTGGCATACTGACAAGCGAGTGTACCAAGACCCCCGCCGGCTCCGATAACAGCTGTGATCCTTGATTAGACACAGACATCAACATTCTAGGAAACTGGTAGCATTACCAACAATCTGTCCTGGCTTGAGGTTGCTTTCTTTCAGTGCTTTGTATACAGTCACCCCGGCACAAAGAATCTGATTATTACGGATGTCAGCGACAAGGGGATTAATTAGGTCACATCAAGTGTTTTCTGACTTACAGGGGCGGCTTCATCCAAAGAAATCTCGTCCGGTATGCGGACAGCATTCGTTGCTTTACAAACGCAATACTGCTGAAATGTGCCATTGACAGTGTAGCCAGAAATCTTGGCACTGGGACAGAGTGGCTGATCGCCATCGTCGCAGAACTCGCAACTTCCACAAGTGTCATTCATCCACTTTATATCAATCATTTTATATTAGTATCGAAAAAATCTCGTGATTGAAAAACTTCAGAGAAGAGGCTTACTTGTACCCCAACTCGATCCCCAATTGATACTCGACTGACGTTACCCCCTCGGGCAACTACTACCCCGGCTCCCTCATGGCCACCTGTCCGCAGTGAGAATCTTTACCAAGTGATTCAAGTCTAGAATGAATGACTTACCAACCAAATCTTTCTTGGTTTCAAGTGGCCAATCCCCTGTTCTAAGTCAGCCGAAAATATCCTCGACGTATATTCTTGAGTCAAACCTTTCCATGCGTGCAAATCGGTATGACACACTCCCGAATAGTGAATTTGCACCAATATCTCGTCAGAGGAGATTGATGGCACTGGAATTTGAGTGTAAAGTAAAGCTTTTGATGATCAGCACAATTCTGGCACAAAATTCAAATTCAGGATATATTGCAGCATTTACCTGAGGCTGTCTTTTCAAACACCTGTGCCCACTGCATCTTCGGAATCTCGAGTACCTTGTGAGCCCCATTCACTTTCTTTGACTTGATTGTTGTCATCTTTGCGTTTTAAGTTAATAGAAGCAACAAGATAACCCAGCCAGCAAGATATGAACGGTATCTAAATCCTAACGATAGCTCTCTGGAGAGCTAATGAAGAACTCAAGAATGGAGGCGTTTAGGAGAACCTCTGAGAGATTTGAGAGACCGATGTGATAATGAGTTCATTCTTTCACGGTATGCTCCTGCGATTTATGGTCTTCTGCGGGCTTCAGCTTCGGATACTTGATTCTTAGTAGGCTCTGATCAGATCATCCTTTTCCCTGCTTTATCCATTGATTTCAAATCATTCACGTCGTGTAACCAAGTGATGATATGGGCGGCAGCAGCGGTGACAATTAATATGCTCCACTCGGCGCAAGAATATGCACGTTAAATTATAGGAAAGCACTTTCTTATCGTTGGTGTTCACACCAGAAACAACATTTTCAATGAGGGATTTTTCAACGGACTTTGTTACTACTCATGCATTCAACGAAAGGAATCCAAGTTTGTATGCTTGCATGCTCATGTTTTATTGGTAGGATGAAAGCTGGGAGAGCAAAGTCACGAAAAAGCGTTTGTAAATTGCAGGCATACTTCATCCGACAAACTAAGGGTTTTGTAAGATAGACTACCGTATGAATAGATTAGTTTACTGAGTCGTACATGCTTGCAGGCCCCGTATTTCACTTCTATATAAATGTGTGTCTAGCATTTCTTTCTGTATTTGAAGATGTTTCGGACGGATCTTGAGTTGCTGCGTAATATTGACATAGTGAAGATACGGTCTAGCGGTGAGAAGTTTTTTTAAATTTGTCGGCTTTACCATCAAAAAATTCCTCATATGCATGCCCAATGCTTTGTTTTATGAAAGAATTTCTATATTTCAGATAAGAATTATTACTGGTTGATTAATCTATATTTCACGTACAGAGACCATTAGCATTCCTCGGGTATACAGATAAGCATAAGAGGCAAAATATGTGGGTCTGATCGTGCCGATTAGCTCCCGTACTACTAGATCGAGTTGAACATACATGACAACAATTCTTGCCACACAAGGTCAATGTCGCACAACAAGTTTGAAGCGACCCAACACCCTTTGGCAATCTGATTTTGTTCTGCGGCTTCTAAATGATTTGTTGCTACTCCCGAAGCCATATTATGGCTACCAAATATCATGCAAGTTGGCATGCCGATAGGCCAAAATGCCGCAATCCAATGTAGTAAACAGGGAAACTGATAGTTTCTTGACTTTGAATTGATTTGAAAGCCCGGTTTCGATCTCAGGTGACGTAAGTCTGGAAGGAGACGTGTTTGCGATGGCATTTGTGGAAAGGCAACAATGGTAAATTATTATAAGATTGGAGATATAAATATGTATATCTATCGAATACGACTTTCTCTTTAGCCATATTACACCATGTCTATCCCGTTCAGATCACCGCGTACTAGGATTTTGAAGAACTTCCCTCTTGTCAAAGCGATCACCACTCGTTTTGAAACCTTTGCAAACACCACTGGAAAAATATCCGGTATAACAAACCAGAGTAAAGGCTTCTCGGAACCTTCTTCAAAATCAGTCAAATGGAAACAAGTCAGCAACGGCCAGTATGTCAGGCCATTTGATCCATTTGAAAAGATGTTTTCCTTTTTTTGTCATGACCCGACCAGACCGGAGTTTCGGAGCCTTGACATCGTGGCCAGCGTTGGCATGGAAACTTTACCTAAGGATGCAAATAAATTTCTGGAGACGATCAAAAAAGCATGGATCAGACTACGCTATCTCCATCCTACTCTTGCCACTGAAGTCGGCCAAGACGAATTCCGGTACATGCCTCTCAAAGATCAAGCTGATATTGATAATTGGCTGGAGAAGACTTTCATCATGAAAGAGTGGGATTCGGATAGTGAATTTGAAGGCTGTCAAGACCTCAGTATCGCACCTTCTGCCCAGTCGCCTGTGCTTTACTACTTCCCTGGCAAACAAAAACTTATTCTCCGCATGAATCATATGCATGGGGATGGACAGGCTGTTGTGATTCTGTTACAAGACCTCTTTGCTGAAATCCAACGCTTGAACTTGGGCGGAGGAACTGTGAATGAACCTTGGGGTGCGGAAGTACGAAGCCTTGCTTCTGGTGGATTTGACGCTGCGGGAATAACCGACTTGGAAGATTCCTGGAACTCGAATCTTGTCTCGTCTTTGCCCCAGCTACGAGCAGAGGGAGAGGCGTTCGAAATACCTTCCGTGGATAACACGCACCCACCTGGAGCAGGCAAGACACAATCTCTCGAGTTTTCCGAAAATGAAACATCTGAGCTTCGGGATCAAGCTAAAAAACAGAAACTGGGGCTTACTGCTCTCTTGCATGCAGCACTTCTCCACGCCGGGAAGAGAATTAGTCCCATTTCTGAAAGTATGATCCACTCAACCGTTCTTATTTTCAGTTTTCGAGAAAGATGTACAGACTCGCCTCCGAATGCCAATTCACGAGCTACTGCTCTGCGGATTGGCTTTTGGCCTGTACAGGTGCCGATATCGGATGAATTTCGACTTACAGCCTTGCGTATTAGAAATGCATACAAGGCCCTCGCTCATCGAAAGTCTGCTGCCCTCGTCACGATGGTGCCATATTTGCAGAAATCCGTGTCAGCATTGTCTCAAGAATACTTCAAGGGAATACTACCCAGCTTTATTGGGAATGTCTCGAAAGCCTTCCCGAAAAGCTACGGCTCTTTCAAGATCCGGGACTTCTGGATGGCTGGGGTGCCAACCGACGAACGAATCTATGTTGGAATCCAAACTTTTGGTAATAAATTGTCTATCAGGGCCTGTTACAACCAAACATATCATACCGATGAGCAGATAGCCAACTACCTTCTGCAAATTAGACAAGAGATATATGCCGGCCTGACATCTGATGTCGAAAAGCTCAATTTTCTGTCGACGGTGACCTTACAGGGCTAGAGTCCAATGTGAATGGCTAGATCGAATTCCAGCTAAGGCGAACTATCACAAGTGTGAAGTATATTGATTGGAAAAAGGCCATTCTATTGATCCTTTTTGTATTGTTTTTAGCAAGTTGCTTTGTTGAGTTTATGATCAATTTGTCTATCAAGAAATTATAGCACATGCATTATGGTGAAAACATGATGGTCAAATCGTATGAGTAAAGTTGCGGTTGGTGAGTAACAATTGGTTGGCTCAGAAATCCGAAGTACAAAAGAATCATCAAATCTTTACCTCCTGAAACTGAAGTATGTCAATTTTGAAACTAATAAACACAAAAAGAATTGATTTTTTTTAAGAAATCAGCAAATGCTGCTCTAACCACCCATGCAGTTGACCGATTCATCCAATGTAACTACATCGGTCAGCTGTCAAAAACGAAACCCTAGTATAGTAAGGCCTTAGCTTGATGCTTTACTATGATATTGTTGACCGTTTCCTCGACCTTTAGACATGCCAATCGTTTTTTGGTGCGGCAGGCATCAATGTGGCCGTGTCATTAAACTCACCAGTGACGGTTTCACACGAATCTTGGAAGATAACGACCGAACCGTCCCGGGATATTCAGGCGTATAAGAAAGCATCAGCATTGATTACAACATCCACTACGAAGGCGATTTTGAAGCTTTGGAGACATCCGAGGATTTCCGTTAAACAATGCCACCGGGTTTCTTGACCGGTGATTTTCCAGGCTGGAAAGGCTGGATCAGCCGATCCGGGGCTGGATGGATTCACGCTCGCAAGGCCGCAATCATCCCTAACCTGGGTGGATTGACCTCAAACGCTGCTCGGGTGATATGAGATCACGGCCGCGCGCGACCAATGCATTGAAGGACTCGCGAGCGAGCGATACATCGATTATCCAGAAATCGATTGGGACACTGTAGATGAGAGGCATAACGATTAAGCAGCTTTTCAACGTTTGTTTTGGGTAAGACACCTGTTATAGATATCAGATAGCCTAAAGGAAAAGCGGTGATTAGAATGGTAAAGGATCTAGGAAGGATAAGCCAATGAATGAGACTGTCCGGTCAAAGATTGCCTTTGTATACCCTTGCTCTCCTGGAGATAGCACCAAACGTACTGCGTATGTGTCTCTAGCCTGAGGTTTTAAAATGATAACCTCAAAAATGAGAAGCTGAGTGCGCTATCGGTTACACCTAAACGTGCTGCTTTTCTGAGGGCGGGCATGAAATCGCGTGGCGCGTAGGAACTCACTGGACGGGCTCAACCGTATGGGCCCCAAGACTAGGGCACAAAGAAATACGCGAAGAGAAAAAAGGGAGATGCGAGCGCCCGTGACTGCTCAATTTGCCAACGAGCAAATATCATCGGCTCAATGGCCTAGAAAATGGCTATATACGGCTGTAAAATTGATGCGTGGCTTGAGCACCCCCCGTAGGCAGTACTAAATCGACCAGAGCTGCGCAGATATGATTCTCGGTACCAAGTTTAATGAGGCAGATGATAGCAATATTTGACAGAGTTATCTAACCCAATTTGGTACTTGAAATGTCGCGTTACGAGGCAACTCGTCGCGCAAAAGGAGCAAAGACAAAAAAAAGCCGAGGAAACAGATCTACAGCTCGTACGGTGACTCCATCAACCCACCCCCTGGACATGCAGAAAGAAACCGAGCTCCCTCCACCGAAACACCATCCCAAAGGGAAGGATCAGCCATATCCGCCGGACGAAATGGCACTCGCATCGTATCGTCGCATGTATCGCCGGCGACACTCTTGCTGGCAAACTCCCATGCAGGATAGGCACGACGCAACAGAAACTGCTGCCCACTGTATCGATCACCGTGGGAGAAGTCGCCGAAAGCAAGGACCCGCAGAGCTGGCAGTCCGCGAGGGCCGAAAGCCCATTCGGCAAATGACACAATTTCCTCAGCCTCCGCAATAGCCACCGAAGACTCGAGCACTGCTTCCTGCAGATCTATATACTCGAGTGGCGACCGATCAAAATACGCGCTGAGAATGGGACCATAGTCACTTTCGTCATTGGAGCACCCGGTACCCGGATTCACGGGACTCCAGTGCAAGCGAGAGCCCCGGCGATACCATCTGCGCTTCTCATGCAGGAAGGTGATGATCTCTCGTTGGATGTCTCGATGTATTCGCTCGGGACCGCTAAACCGCAAGTGTAAAATCCGGATCTGAGAACGGTTCGCCGTTGGACGTAGGCACCGCCGCTTTTTTCATTAGCATACACATATGGGCGGGGCTGCTGAAGACTCACTGCCGCAGACGGACTTGCACATAGGGCCAGAGCAGTCACCCGACCTAGATCCACAATGGTAGACAAACCTGCAATCCACGCGGGCGATACGTCCCTGTCGTCCTCGAACAAGCCATCCTCATCGACCGGAGCAAGTTGGCGCTCGTGGTAGACAAGGCTTTTCAATGTCGTGCGGTGGTGTCTGATGGCGTCCTCGATGCGGGACTTTGACGCTGGAAAATTAGACAGCCTGATATGAAGATGCTGCAGTCCCGCCGTACGAAATATGTTGTAGTATGCACATCGGTTGAACCGGACGAGGTGGAATGGAGCCTGGATCTGCAGGTGTCTCGCGTGTTGTAGATAATCCGCGGCACGAGAATGGCCGAGGTGGAGAAAGAAGGAGCCAACATCCAGCACGTTCAGAGCCCACTCGCTATCTGCGCGGTATGCAATGGTGCGGTAGATCTGAGGAATCAGGATAGAATACACTCTAGATGAAGCTCGGCTGAGGGCGCGCAGGCTGGCCGGTGGCAGCTGGCGGGCGGTCAGAGAAGTTATCAAACAAATCAAACGCGACAGGCTAGGACTTACCCAATCCGCGATCAGCATCAGGATCTCACACGGCAACTTCTCCAGCATCGTACTGGGAGAGCAGACACATGCTCACTGCATCAATTCATTCAGGGCAATGGGCGATTTAAGAAGCAGGCGTGGTGGGTTTGTAGGCTTGGAGCACCTACCCCTAGTCAAACCAAGGCAGACAAAGAAAGCATTTTGACACAGTTGGCGCAAGACATGTCGAGCTTCACGCTGGAAGAAAATCGAAATAGGCTCAATCTGAATCTTGCTAGTGAACGTTCTTGATCTACGCGCCCATATCCTTGTGAGCGGACCGCAGGATATCTCGTTTCCGCTTGGTGGAATGTTCTGTTCGGCGTGAGCGGCTTCAGGCTTATTGGCCACGGCGGTTGCCAGAGCCAGTCAAGGGCAAAAAGAAGAACGTTCAACCGGCTGACAACCAGGCTCATCCCCGGGTGTTGTGGGGCAACGGGTAGCGCGTAAGTGGGCATGCACAGCCCAGCGTGCGGTCGAAACGGTCGCATTTAATGAGGCGATTTCACTGTTTAAATAAAAATGATCTTTAGCTACGATTTCTCCAAAATGGCAATTTTCGGTAATTTGGCTCAATGAGTAGTTATGGCCAGTTGAGACCTGCCCTGCATCGAAGGCGGACGGGAATAAAGTCTGTACCTTGACAAAGGCGGTCAGCCGGCTTGGCGAAAACAACACGTCTTTTGTCAAGCAAGATGCATTTGATATCAATAAACGAGCGATACAAGCGACTAAATTACCAATGCGAACCTTGCCAAACAAAACAAGTGTCATATTGATCTAACCATCTGAAATATGTTGTGTGCAGTACCAAGGTGTGTCAAATAGATATACTGTCACTAGGCCCATCAAAAGTGAGCATCGACCACATCCTCTTTTCAATAGGCGGTTGGTTCATTCTGGCCCCCAAGCATGCAAAAATTCGCCCTATATTGAGGTGTGGTACAACTTGTCGATCATTATCCAAATGAAGTCTAGGCTGCATATCCAAGCACCGAATGCAGGATGACCCTCGAATAAGAAACTGCGCTGTACGCCAGGACTAGGTGCATCACGTAGAGGCTGGGCCGCCAGTCGTTCACCGCGCCTACCCTCTCCAATGGTCGAAGCAGGTAAAAGGCAGCGCCAAGGGAGTTCCACGTGGCGACTCGGCCAAAGTGTATCGCCAATGAGGGGGGGCTTTCGAACGTCCCGGTCAGGGCATGGATAGAGGGTATCAGGGAGAGTAAGCCCAGTGAAACACAGGCATACGGGAATATGTACCGGGATGCATGGATGCTGGAGCCCCAGACCAGAAAGTCTACCAGAGTCCCGACCGCAACGATGGTAAACGCAGAGAGGTACCCAAGCTGAAGAGAAGGTTGGTTGCGCAACAGCAACACCGCCGAGGGAATGGTGGCCGTCCAGATCAGAATTAGAGCGCCTCCAAACTCTAGCTTCTGCAAATTCCCCGCATCATTGCCTTGGAACGTATGTAGAATACGATAGACGAGACATAAAAAGTACCAGATGATGACACCCGCCCTGGAAAGCCGTATATCAATTACTATCATCCAAACCTTCAAGTTTACGATACGCCAGATAAGGTCGAGGACTATTGTGTCCCAATCGACAAAGATCTACTTCGTACGATGCAGCAGGACGTTAGTGATTGGGATGCCGAGGTCAGTACCGCTTTTCGAGCGTATCGACTGGGAAGACATCCGGTGATAAATCCGCCTGGGTAAAATAGAGAGCCAGTGTAGACTGGATTTGTGGAATTATATGTATTCCTACGACAATCTTAAGGACCTTCGGCCCGCTAACAATGACGAAGCACAATTGACTCACTCTGGGGGGTGGATCAAAAGGAGGGCGCCGAGCAACCCTACCAGTCTCGCCCTCAATACACCCCGTCCTGGACCTCATTCGAGGCATCTTCCATGTACATCCCATCGCCCAAAGACGTCCACAGCCGTATTAGATTAAAGACCGAACAATTCATCCACCCTTCAAAATCGGTCTCTCCCTCTTCGAGTTCCGGAAACGCCTCCACAGCTGGAAGAAACCATTGCCGCAGCTCTGTATAACAGCGCTCCCCATGCTTCTCCCGGTGCTCCTCTGGCGTCATTGCCTCGCCCAGCCGTTGGACAGCCGCCTCATCCATCACCAAGCACGCGCGGTACTTGTTCCATCCATCTTGCTTATCTTGGGCTTCTACCCAGCCTTCAAAATGCCCCCGCACTGCATCCAACGAAGCCCCGTCCAGCGTGGCTGGCTCCTCGATGACGGTTAGCTGGTGGCGCGCCCAGAGCTGATCGTTGGGCGTGGGATCCGGATTTTCCAAGCCGTACTCGTGGAGATCTTCGTAGACTCCCGCCTTGATCCAGGAAGTGAGGATTTCGATTGCTTTGTGGAATGCGGGGTCGGAGCGGTAGATTGTGCGGTAGACGACCCAGCCCCAGGTCTCTTCGCGCATGTCCTGGAGCATGCGACGGGAGGTGCGGTTGAAGTCGATGGACCTTATGGTCGCTTCGTCGAGTTGAGGCGGTCCAAACATGATAGATAATTGTTCAAGAGATGTGTATTGGGAAGAGAGAGAGATCGAGGGTGTATGTGTTTAGAAAGATCTGGGAGAATGAGTTAACAGAGCAGAAAACAGGAATAGTCAAGGGTACTTTAGCCGATGATGTCTCAGTCCAAGGCGTTATTTGCTACCGTGGGTGGCGTTCCTTGGTTGCAACGCCCCCCATTCGAAGCACTAAGATGAAGCCTTGGATATACTAGCCGTAGGGGTCTGCTTAGTGTTAGTGGGGCCTGTCCGGGTATGCCGACATCTACCATGGAAGACCTGAGGGAGCAAAAAGCAGAAGGTTGGCTATTTATTGAAGATGCCGAGGATATAATCCATACATATGAGAAAGAAAGTGAAGAAAGTCTACAATGAAAACCGACTGTTGTGATCCCCTACGCTTACCGGGGCTGACTAGTCAGCATCCTGGCTGCCTGAGGCAGCCAACAAGTGAGGCCTCAGGCACCACTTGCTACGGCGGGCAGGATTGTCCATTAAGCGAAGGCCTTGGCACGACATTATGTAATTACTGCTTATATAACTAACTACACCGTGCCTCGGGCATCCAATAAGAAACCATCTGGTCCCTTTAGTATCACACTGTCCGGTGATGCTCATCACGTGACCACCTAGTGCTTCTTTCAACCGAACCACAATTGATATCCTGATCTTCCACCTTCGTCATATCCACCAGAGTCAGGGTCAGCCAACATGGCGGGCCAACGCCCTCGACCCCGGATTACTTGGTGGATGCGCCTGCGCCGCTTCATTTGTTATTTCGAGAGCCCTCTCCGACTCCGCACCAGCCTCAACCGTCTACGCCACCACAACCCACACCCCTTTCTCGCTCTCCTGCGCCTCTTCATCCCCTTCCCAACATGGCATTTCTCAGTCCCAGATCCAGAGCCCATCTGCACACAACATTTCCCTGCTCGAGGAACGGTTCGCAGCACAGGACCTCACTAACATGCGCTGTATCCCGATCTGGCGCGCCATGGACACCCCGCTTCGATGTCTCTACCGCATCTACGAGGCGATGGCCGCACGGGAAACATATGCCATCAGTCCCGAGGTAGAATACTTTGGGTATCAGTCCCGCCGGCGATGGTCCCTGGACCGCATCCCTGACCCGTGTGATCCCGATCCCGTTCGGTACGCCATTCTGGCGTCCATCACAGAAGAACTCGCCAAGGGGTTCAACTGGCGGTTAAGTCTGGGCATGCGCCGTGTTAAAAGCCAGCATATCTACCGCAAGTATTTTGACGAGGAGCTTCCACCCTTTACTCCGGTGGGTGTAGATATGATCACCGATCTGCCGAGTGATTTCTTGGATTCTTCGGGCAGACTGGTTCTGGAAGAGGGAGGTGACACGCCGACCTTTGCAGCGAGGAATATTATGACCGGAACTCGCGACTTTTATACGGTATAGTCAAGTTGATTTTGGCTATTATCTACCTAAACAAAGCCTCACCATACGTCATTCGATACATTGTTGTAGCCAGCAATTCTGTGATAGGACCTCGCGGCATTCAAACGCCAAAAACAAGTCGAATTGTTTGACAAAAGCGACTAGAGGACCTCCTCGTCATACTTCCTTCGATAGGCTGCAGCAACCTCGTCCATGGTTCTGTGGTCTGGGGGTGGTTCTTTGGAGCAAATGTTCAACGTGCGAATATGCTCTTTTTTTAGTGAGCCCCCATTTCGCTCCCATGAACCTCAAAAGTGCAAGAGCATCATTCGTATCAGATTCCCACTTGGTACTTTGCATTTTGTTGTGGATCCGTCGCAGCTTTCGTTCCAGAGCCCGTTCCAGTGAAAATGCAAGGACCCGTAGATTCGGACCATCCCACAACACGATATTTTGCTTCTCCGCCTCTTCGAACAACAGTTGCCTCGACTGGTCGGGGATGAAGAATGCCGTTTCCTCGTTTGCGCAGTCCTCAGTAAACCCCAGGTTTCTCGCTGCTCGTTGCATCGCATCCCGGAGTGGCCCCTTGGCATCGTTGTCGTGCATCCACTGCGGTTCGATAAGATAATCGAGATATCCGTTACTTTCTCGATTTCGGAAGAAGCTGACGGCGAGGAATCCCCTCGCCGAAAGCAAAGTGATCAGTGCGAAGGCGATGAGCCATTCATCTTTGCCCATCTCACTGTCGAGTCACTCTTAGCGAATATCTTTTGTTACTAGGAAGGTTTCTCTCATGCCTTTGCGAAAATCATCTGCTCCAAAGCGTTGCTTGTAAGTCGCCATGGTTTTTGATCGCCGGGATGTCTTTTGCACGCTCAGAGTGGCTATGGAAAGGATTATTGTAACCGGAGAGATGACACGACTTCATTCAATACAACAAATTTTATGAGTCTTCCTTCGTTCTTTTCTCAAGTACCTAAATACAGATTTCAAAACGCCTGCCGTGATCTCCGATGATACCGTCGTTCTACCCCGCCCATTCCCTGCAGGTTACTGCACCACTGGATTGGAATCGGAAAAGGCTGCAGGTGCCGGTCCTCGACAGAGTTCGCCACTGCGCTCAAGAGTCATCGCCCCTACCGCCTGCTTCATGAAGCCATTCATGATCATATGATTCATGAATATCTTCATAGAATTAGGCTAATATAAACCATTCTATTCAATCTCACTCTACTCCTATTTGTGTTGTGTTTTGACGTTGGTGCAGCCCAGCCCTAGACAAGTATTTCTGGGCTTGTCCCACATGCATCTACCACATACACTACTATACCCAGTTCTACCTGAGTATACATACGTACTAGACTAGACATATCTTGACAAAACGATTAAAAAAGACCCATATCCAAATACTTCGTCTTATTCTATCCTACTCAAGCCGACTGAAGGCAACTAACTATATGCACACAGGAACAAGTAATTTCCCCATCCTAGACACTCGTAGATCTCACGACGGCAGCAGTACTGCTTCTGCTCGCAACTCCCCATCATCTATAGTAGTCACATTCCACGTATACGTTGGCCCAACACAATATGTCCAGCCGGCGTGCACGCTATCCGTACAACCCGCCGAGTCCAAGGAAGGATTCACCTCCAAGAACAAAGGGCTCGTGATGGACGACTGGATACAGATAGCAGCGCAGGTCTCGTTACCAGCCGCTTCATACCACTTTCCGCAGTTGAGGGTTGTACCCTCCGCAACGGTAGAGTTGGCAGGCGGATCCGTCGGCTCGTAGACGTATCCGTCTGCGAAGCCGGGGTTCGTACCACTGGACTCATCACTGCCGGCAGTGTCATTATGCTCGCCACCAATTGGGCTGAGACAAATAGTACTGCCGTAGATCGCGCTGGCAGTGTGGAGGTTGTCGCAGGCGAATGAGATCCAGGGGTTATAGACTCGAAGATCACCGCTCTCGAGGGAGGCGGCGGTCTCAATGGTTGTGCAGGTATCATCTGGGAGGAGGGTGTAGATGTCGCTGCAGCTTAGAGGGAGACAGAGGGTCATGTCAGCAGGGATCTTGGAGCAGGCATAGATTTGATCCTGGTTGCCCATATAGATAGATGCAGAGCTCATGCTGTTAGCCTGCGCAATGGAGTCGCAAGTGTCGCCGTCGACGGTCTTGTATGTTGTTGTGAAACAATCTGCGGGGTCTTCCTCCGGAAGGGTGATGGGAGAGGGCTGGATGTCGGTCGGGCCGGTCAGACCGCACTTATCGTGGACGGTCTCCAGCTCGGTTTTGTAGTAGTCGTTATAGAAAGAGTACTGGCTCCGCCGCATCATCTCCAGTCGCTCCACGTTACAGTAGGAGCACATTTCGCTTTCGGGCATCTCGTCAATGCTGCTTACGAGGGTGAAGTTTTCAATAACGTCTAAAAGTGTATCGTGTTAGAGTTTGGTTATGAGTGGGGATTTGCAGTAAATACGACTTACCATTGCAGTATTCATCAGTGTCGGGGTCTCTGAGACAGGTTTCATTATAGCCGGCCCACAAACGACCACCCAACAAGGGAGCGACAGCCCCAGTGATGTTGTATGTGGCACAGTTCTGGCTCACAGACTTGAACCACTTGCTGAGACTGACACCACAGCTAGTGTCGCAAATGGAATCCGTCAGAGTGTCGTTGTTCAAGGAACCATGATAGCTCGGTTCCGTAAACGTGCGCAGGTACAAGTCGCATTCTATGCGCTCAGCGAGCGCAGTGATACAGCTCGCTGAGAGGTCCATGTCTTCCAAACTGTCTGTAGTGTAGAGAGAGAAGCCAGGGAAGTCACGGTGACCGGCCGTTTGCTCTGCACCGTTCAGCCATGCCAGGATGGAGGACAGGAAACCGTTCATGTTGTCTTTAGCATAGGTCGGTACCGATTTCACAGGCGAAACCATCTCGACGATTGCTTTCGTGCACAGATTGTAGACCCAAATGTCATAGCTCTCCTCAATTTCGAATACACGCGCCTGACAGTTCTCAGTCTCCAGGCAGTCTTGCGAATAGTCGGAGAACCAGCTGTACAAGCCGCTGCCAAGCATGTAGATAGACGAGGAGTCGATGATACGAACGCCCCAGGAGATCGCACAAGTGAAAGAGTCCTCTTTGCAGTCATTGAAGAGGGGGTCATTGGGGAACATTCCCGTAGTGAATGGAGCCGGCGCTGGAGGGACGGGCTGGAAATAAGGGGACTCGGTCTGAATCATAGCCATCAAGATGTTCTTAGCACCGGAGAGCTGGTACTGGTAAAGAACACTGTGCTCTGATGCGGTGCCGTACAACCATGCGAGCTGACTCTCGATAAGGATTCCTCGTCCCGAGTACACATCGATCTGGTCCTGAGTGACCACATCAAGATCATGATCTGCAACCCAGACCCAGATATTTTCCATATACGCGCTGGACTTTGGCGTCAGATGCAGTAGCAGTGAAGCAGCAATGCAATCTGGGTTAACTGAGCCAGTCTGCTTGGGACAATCATCCTTCTGGAGATTGGATCCAATTGCACCTCCAATACGGATATGCGAATCTGCTAATGTCAGTGATCTGCACGAAGATCGATACCAGAATGACGGAACACCTACCCCACATGGCTGCAGATCCTTTAGACGATTGATAGACGTTCCACTCTACTAAGATAACCCCGGCTGTCGGTCCCGAAACAGTAAACATCATATCTTGGATTTCGATAATTCCCGTGTCCCCAGGTTGGCCAACTTGCACGGCCACACGGGGTTTTTCTATGTCCTCAAACTTCGCGCCCGTCGCCATAATCTGGGACCAGGCTTGGCCGATGATCCGCGAGCCGACTGGAACACGCAAGGTATCCTTGATAACGTATACGCCGAACGGGAAGTATACCACAGCAGACAGATTGGCGGCCTGAGAGAGGATGTTGTTCAGAATGATTGTGTCATCAGTATTTCCATCACCCTTGGCACCCAGTGCCTTGACATTCATGATCTGGCTTGCAGTGAGCTCATCGTACTTGGGACGGCGACGAGTATACAAGTTAGACTTTACGTAGGCGTCAGTGCCAAGGAGTTCCTCAGTGCGGTTCATTGCGGGAATGTCCTGGCCATTGACGAATGATGCAGCGCCAGTGGAGTTGTTAACTGTCATACCAAAGCCCCAGGAGTCCTTGAGGACCTCATTGCCACCGGCGAGAAGGACTTGGCCTTTGGCAGAATCCTGGATGGCAGTCTCAACGTTGAAGAAGCCCACATTCTGGATAAGGAACGAGGTGGAGTTCTCCTCGTACAGAGAGGTGATAATTCCGTTGGGAGTGTTCGCGATGATGGCATCGGCAAGAACGACAGATCCGACTCCCTGGCCGTTGCTCATGGGACCACCGGCCTTTTCATAACATATTAGCCTTAAACTACATAACACAGGCCAGGTTGAAAAATTGGGAAACTCACTCCTCCAACGATAGTCAGTCCATTCTGGCAGCTTTCAATCACATAGTCTTGCATAGTCCACGCCCAATCCCAATGAACCTGTAGGGCCGTGTTACATTGCACGAAGACCAGCTGGCTAGTGGTGAACTGCTGATTTCCAAAGTAGGCACTGGAGTACGTTAGCATTGTACCATGGCATGCACTGACCTTTCCAACGACGCATGCTTGCTACTTACCCGAAATTGCCGCCCACGAAAGTCAGATCGGCGAGATATCCACCGGAGCCGTTCTCCATGTAGATACCCTATAGCTGGTTAGACGCTTGTTCGTAACTATTTGATGACCTCAAGACATACCTGCTGCGTATTCTCGGGAACATCGGTGTTATACAGCATATAAAACTCAATGTTCTCCAGCGATGTACCCTGGGCAACTTGCCAGTGAATGGCGCAGACATAGGCCGACGGGTCGGTAAGTCGGATGTCGATCTTGAAATTCCGGATGCTCCGGAGGAAGTTATTCTGATTGACATACCTAGGGGTTCATCAGAATCAGAATATATTTAAAGACCAAGGCAAGAGTAACATACCATTCCTCTTCGTCGCCAACATAGACGTCCGATGTCACAACACCCAAGCCAACAAAGCTCGATGCTGCGAGAATCGTCGGAACATAGAGAGGCTAATTCCATGTATTAGTACTAGTTCTTGCTGTAAAATGAATGGTAATGGCGACTTACATCTCCCAGGAACTGCGTATTGTAGTACTGGATGATCGACGTGCTAACCAGGTAGGTTCCAGCAGGGAACCAGATAACAGCCGGATAGATGGTGCTCGAACCGCAGTTGGCGCCACAGCGACCTCCATCCGAGATAGCTTTGTTGATAGCCTCGGTGTCATCGGCGACTCCATCACCCTTGGCTCCATAATCCATCACATTACGCCAGACCTTGTAGGAATCCGGCGCGAAGGGGCTAGCACCATTCTTCTGCATGGTTGACATCCAGTACTCAGTGGGGGTACCCCGCTTCTCAATAGTAACCCCGTCCGCGCCATTTGTCTTGTACTCGGCTGTGCTCACGCCGAAGGGCGAGTAGTCGTACAAGCCATCTGGACGGATCAATGCCTGATGAGGGGTGTTCGTGTCATTTCCCTTGGTGCGATACTTGGCTCGCATCTGGGTGGCAACTTGGCTGTGGTCTCCCTGCGGCTTCTGGGGAGTGGATTCCGCCAGAGTGCGAGCGGCTGCGGCCAGCTTGTCTGGGATGGTATATGCAGAGTTACCGGTTTGTTCAGAGGAATCTCGCGCCTTCAAGGTTGCATTCTTCAGCGCGTCTGCGCTATAGTCCAGCGGCTGCGCAGAAGATACTTTGGTCAAGACGGAAGATGTGTTTTGAAACTCGTTCTTGTTGAAATTGGGGTACTCGACCCGTTCTCGATTGACGTGCGCCAGGACTGCAAGAGCCTGCTTGACGATGTCCGCTGCATCGCCGGCCGACGACCCGTTCTTTGCTCTGGCATGATTGACATGATGATGATGCATGTGTCCATGGTGTCCGCCAGCGACTACTCCCACTGCCTGAAGACAGAGGAGCAGGATTGGAATAAGCGGTGCCATGTTGGGCTGTCTGTCACTGGATGCGCAACCCAGCGGCAGTACTCAAGGGCAAACGCAAATACACCGGCAAGGAGCGGACAGTCTGAGAGAAAAACAGAACGGCCGTCCTTTTCGTTCAACCAGGACTTATGGGCAGTTTCTCACTTAATCTCCGTTTAGGTTTTCTTCATCCTCGCCATACTCCCACTTCAACTAGCGCGATCGCCTTCATTTCCGATATACAATAGCGTCCGCAATTTAAGCCGAGATGAAGGTTGAGGCATCCAGACCCTGGCTGAAGCATGGTCAGGAAATTAGTGTCTTACTTTAGTCCTTTCCACGCCCCCCAGTGTTTGTTAAACGGAATGGGGCAGGTTGTGCTAAGCGGCCCGCTATGTAACCCTGGGAAGGCTTGCCACGCACAAGGCAGCGGATGCCAAGACATCCGCCCTGTGGGCGGCCGGCCTAGCTGGTAAGGCTAAGAATTTAGTCTGATCATGGTGTGCCAAGATGTCTCACCCTAAGAGATGCGAGCTCGTCACCAGTTCCATCTTGGCAATGATATTTTTCACGCCGTTGCTTCTGCAGTCTCACCATGACTATGGTAAGAGCCTTAAGCGAGATTAAACAATGCGCCACCGGAGCCTTCACCGAATCGCAGGGACATGAAGACCGGAGATTGGAAATATAATGGAGGACGGGATGCTTGTTCAATGCCGGAGTATCCGGATGACCTTGGAAACTTGGTCTTGAGGGAAATTGCAGCCGAGTAACACCTGAAGGGCAAGGGCCTCGTGGAGTTGAGTATTTCTCACGGCCACAGACCAGGAGCACGTCTGCCATTCCCACGGTCTCTCCTCCCAGGAGTATCACGATGTGGACGCATAGAGGCCTTTTCCACCTGCTTGGGTGGTGGGCACTGTTGTTGTTCGTCCTCACCCAAGCCCAGGACTGCAGCAGCGACAATCCCTGTGCCACTGGATGTTGCAGCAAGGACGGATACTGTGGCATTGGCGACGATTACTGCGGTGCTGATGTCTGTGTTGCCTCCTGTGACTACAAACCCGATTGCGATGCATCCAACCCGTGCGCGACAGGATGCTGCAACAAATATGGATACTGCGGCCTTGGCCCTGACTGTTCGTTTGACCTTTTCCTCTCTTCGAAGTGCAAGTCACAGTGACTGACATTCTTTTCAATCCCAGACTGTGACTCGGAAGTATGTGTAGCCGGATGCGAAAGTAAATCATACTGTGACCCCGGTGGCTTCGGCGAATTCTCCGAAGTGTCCAAGTGCCCTCTGAACGTCTGTTGCTCGAAGTTCGGCTTCTGCGGTCTGACCGAGGAGTTCTGCGGCAAGAAGAAGGTCAAGCGGCCGTCATGCGAAAAGGCAGGCAGTCTGAACCGGGTGGTGGGATACTACGAAGGCTGGTCGGTCAAGCGGCCGTGCAATGTCTTCTATCCTGAGCAGATTCCCATGGGTGTGTACACCCATTTGAACTACGCCTTTGCCGCTATTGACCCGGACACCTTCGAAATCCAGCCCGCCAGCACCTATGAGGGCAATATGATGAAACGCTTGACAGGCTTGAAAAGGATTGATCCTGATCTCAAGGTGTTTGTTGCCATTGGTGGATGGACTTTTAACGACCCGGGTCCGACAGCCACTGTCTTTTCTGATCTAGCGAGATCGAAAGATAACCAGGATAAATTTTTCAACTCCTTGACGAGTTTCCTGGCGAAGTACGACTTCGATGGTGTTGATCTTGACTGGGAGTATCCAGCGGCCGACGACCGTAGTGGTCGCGAGGAGGATTTTGAGAACTTCCCCAAGTTCATGGCCAACCTCAAAGATGCATTGAAGAAAACGGCTGGCCGAGATGGTCTTAGTATCACGCTCCCTGCGTCGTACTGGTATCTCCAGCATTTCGACATTGTGAAGCTGGAGAAACACATCGATTTCTTCAACATGATGACATATGATTTGCACGGTACATGGGATAAAGGTAATAAGTGGTTGGGCGAGTACCTCCTTGCACATACCAATTTGACCGAGATCACCAATGGATTGGATCTGCTCTGGCGGAACGACATTTCTCCCGAGAAGGTTGTGCTTGGTATGGCCTTCTATGCACGTGCCTTTACAGTGTCCGATACGAGCTGTATGGACACTGGCTGTCTGTTTGACTCAGGCGCCAATGCCGGCAAATGCAGCCACGAAGTGGGCATCCTGCTCAACTCGGAGATCATTGACATCATGGACGATGGCGACCTGAAGTCTGAACTCGACAAGGAGGCCGCCGTCAAGATTCTCAAATACGACACCAACCAATGGCTCACGTATGATGACGGGGACACGTTCAAACTTAAAGCCGACTTCGCGCGAGGCCAGTGTCTCGGCGGCGTCATGGTCTGGGCTGTTTCCCACGATACTAAAGATGGCAAATTCACGCGTGCGCTATCCGAAGCGGTTGGGCGAAAGGCCGTAGCGCTGGCCATGACGTCGGAGAGTCCGGATGACACCAAGGTGGTCAAATATCACCCGCAATGCAAATGGACGAATTGTATGATCGACTGTCCCAGCGGGTGGTCGCGTGTTGCGCGAGGCGATGATGGTCACCGCACGGACGAGCATATGTGGGATGAAACTGGCTGCGGTGGCGCCGGCGAGCACACTCTTTGTTGCCCCCCGGATGCCGACCTGCCCACATGTGGTTGGTATACACACAACAATGGCAAATGTGACCCGACATGTCCGGATGGCATGGTGGAAGTGGGCTCCAACAGCATGTACTGCAACAATGGCAAATACCAGGCGGCCTGCTGCACGACGAACACCAACAGCACCAAGCTATACGGACAGTGCTCGTGGTCAGAATGGCCGATGTGTGATGATGGATCATGTAGCAATACCGAGATTGCCTCCTCCACCACAGGCAGCGGCGGCGCCTCTTGCAACATGCGTGCGGCGAGTTTAGATGGAAGCATTTGGGAAGTCCAGGAGCGCAAGTATTGCTGTGACAAAAAGGATGACGAACAATGGGAGGACTGCGAGTGGAAGACAGATATTGGACTTGCCCTCGCTGGTCACGGCGTCAGCAACGGATACTGTCTCAGCGGCTGTCCAGATGATACTGTCCGGGTGGCCCTGGATAAATGGGGAGGCGACTGTGTAGGTAGGGGCGCCCGGGCCAAGTGCTGCAAGGCCGATTTCAACACCATCACCAAGCGTGCGTACACCGACGAGGAGGAAGACCTAGCGGAACTAGTCCAGGAATTCATGGATGATCAAACCTGCGGCTCTAACAGTTGGTATCTCAAGCGCGAGGTGGACTTCCATCTCGAGCATGGAAATCTGACTTCCCTGGCCATGCCTATGCCGTTGACACGACGATCCAGTCTGAAGTCGCAGGAGAAGATGGAGGACCTGCTTAAAGCCATTGCGGTTCAGTATGGCGCCAGCGTCGTCAAGCGAGACATTTGGGATGAGTATGTTGTCTCCGAATATGAAAACCTGACACCGGCGAATCTCCGGAGTTGGATCAATGACCAAATTACCACCATAACCAAGGGCTATTCCTACCTTGTGGAATCTCTCATCTGCAACATGGCATATTATAATGCCGTCATTGGTGAAAAGGAGGTCATTTCGTGCGCGTGTGAGACCAAGGACTGCTGTGATAACGATGATGATTACTGCTCCAGCGATGACGGATACGACTACACCGAACTGTCGCTGTCGATTCGAAGCCTGGAGAAGCGCGCTGGCTCCCGATCATTCGATATCACCTTCTCTGACGGGCGGACGATGCATTACACATCGTTGGGGGTATGTCCACTTTCTTTCCCCGTTTCCCTCGTTTCCCCCCAAGCCCCGATCCATTAGTCTTCGAAGCTCTACTAATCGCATGCCTGTGCAACATTGCAGTACTGGAGTCGAGGCCAGGTCCCCGTGAATCACCCTCTCATGCAGCTTGGGTTTGATTTTGTCGACCAAAATGACTGCTTGCTGCCCGATGTCACGCCCACAGCTCTCACCACGACAACCCGCAGAAGATTCGCAGGTACGTTTCCTGACAGCACATTGATGTCATCCCCGAACGTTTAAAACCAAATGCCGTGTGCGGTGGCGCTGGCGGTGGCGGATCTATTGACAAGCGTTGACTCTGGATAGTCGAACACGAGCTGGAGCTCAATACGATCCGTCAGTTTATTATGGACGCAGCGAACGGTGTCCTCCGATCTGGAGCAACGGCCCGGACCGGCGCCATCTCCATTACTTTCTTCGTCCAGGCGATGACGGCCCCCATCCTCAACAACCCACCGGCGATGCTGGGAGGAACCCAATCCTTCATCCCAATTGTTCGGGTCATGAATGCTCTTGGAAGTACCGCGAATAACGGTCACTTTGTCTTCTTCCTGAATGGTTTGAACAACATGAAGCTGCAAGTGAGTTTCTCAAACTTTTATCCCAATCGATTCATGAATGCTCACCTCTTCCAGCTCTGGGTAGGCAAGGACCCGATCAACTCAGGCACAATGGACACCGCCATTCAAGCCACCGATCCTAAAACAGCCCTCAACAATCTCCGATCGGTAAGTAACTCCCACAATACAAATTTCCCGTTGCGGATATCCGTCCATATCTAATCGTGACAGGCCCTCTCCCTTATTTATTACCTAAACCATCCTATCGCGCACGACAACTGGGTTGGACCCGCAAACGACGTCCGCACTGAGTGGGCCCGCGCCGAAACGGAGTGGTTTGCCCAAGGCAACGGTCGAGAACAGGTGGTGGCATTCTGGGATGAATGGCTGCGAGACTTCATGAATGGACGAGCCACGCGTATCCGCAACTGGGTTCAAAACTGGGCCAGGCAGATGTACGGTTACTGGGCTGTACGGACAGGCAATGATGCCATACAGACCCTCCAGGCTCTGCGGACCATCAACAGTCTCGCGTCGGATCTGGAGATGGATCTGGATGGACTCTACCAGGAGCCATTGGACTTGGATTGATTGGTCGGTTCGTCTGGCTGGATGGTAGATAAAAAGACAGAATGTGTCGGGCACGCGTAGGCGGTTCGATTCGATCTTGCTCAGCGTGAGGCCATATAATTTAGAATTTTTCCCTTTTTGCGCTGCGCGCCTCCTGCTTCTCTTGGGAGAATCAAGTATCTCAAGTTTTCCGACTCTATGTCGTTGCTCTGGTCCTCCTGTGCCGTAGTCTATCAAGATGTAATCATGAGATAGGGTGACTGGACACTAGAAACGGGATGAAGTCAAGACTATCTGGGTCGAGACCGAATATGGTTGTCGGTTCAGTTCCAAGGTCAACGCGAAGACCACAGTAGGTAAACATGCTCGCGCGCTAGGTCTATCCGGGTATATTGCAGCCTCAGGCCGGAAGTACGTGTCAGAACCAAGATGTATGGGCCAATCAAACGTAATTCACCACTCTGTCTTTTCTCTACCCCTAGTTCTGGCAATTTATCAGGGGACTATGACTAAACATGCAAACAACACAAACTGTCGGAACGTGGTCGTTACAGTACGGACTAGTACGGGCATAGCCAATTGAGTACTTGAGAGTGTGTTTTCTATATACTATGGAAAGTGCAGAATAAATAGGGGATGAGCTTAGTAAGGTCGTGGAGAGCCTTACGATCATCAGGCAGAGGGGGTGCTGAATATTCCTCGGGCGCGCTAGTAACATTTCGACCCTCTTTTGTTGACACAAACTAAAGTAGATCTTATTTTAGCTTCTTCTAACAGTACGTATGAGCTAACTAGTGAGAGCTATCCAGACTTAAAAAGTACCAGACGATGACACCCGCGCAGAAGACGAGCACCGACATCGCGACTAAGATCTCTGCTGGGGATGAGGGGAAGTGGAAGAGTAAGAAATGGATCGTGAAGAGGTAAAAGTAAAAAAGTCCAAAGGCATTAATGATGGAGAGGTCTACACAGTCGCGCAGAGTTTGAGCGTCAGGGTCAGCCATTGCACTCAGGTTGTCGATCGATTGGACAGTTTCATGTATTCTCATGGGCCTAGCCGGACTATTTAACTGCGAATTACGAATGGAGATGGTGAAGCAGGCAGTCAATTTACTTGGCCGGACTGAGTGACTGTAGGTGTGCATCTATCGAACTATGGCTTGATACTTGATGGTAAGTGGTTTAGAGAGGGTGGTTTAGAGAGGGTGGTTTAGACAGGGTGATTAAATTGAGGTGATAAACGGTTTCCTCACGCAAAATATGAGGTTAGTGCCCATTAACTATATGAAGGTAAAACCGGGTTCAGAAAGAACATGCTTCAGTAACTCCACAGTTATCTATGTCTGACAATCGGGCCCGAGCTGGGTTAGGAACCACATTTCCTCAGTCTCGGGCTGGCATCCTTTACCCGGAGATATGCTCTAGCTGGCTCCTGGGGTTTTCAACAGTCGACAATTCATGGCTATCAATTACTATCGGATCTGATGCAGTCGTTTTGTCCATTGGAATCATATAATCCCCTCGGTAAGCGGCGTGCGATAGGAAGTTAAGAATGTGCAGAGTCGGCACTAACATTCGCCTTCTGCGGACAGCATTTTCTAAGATAAAGAGAATGGCGAAAATAGATGGATTTCCTTGAGATTACTGTAAAAATAAGCATAGCTCTCCCATCTGTAATAAGGTATCGGTTTCAAAGAGCAATTCTGGTTACATCAATATCTAGTTAGGTCTAGATCGCACTGATTTATCTGGCAGATTTGAGAAAAGTACTTGTGCAAAAGCTGCTGTTGTTTGTCCCTCCTTTTGGTTCCTATCTTAATCGTTTCGTACTATTCCATATTAAGATGGAGTACATCAAATACAGCAGCAAAACACCTCGATCAGCCATGTTAAAAAAGCCGCGAAGGAAAATGCTACTGCTAGCCAGGTTGCGGTGAACGAATGAGCCCCCAAACTTGCATCCGCTCCGATGCTCTTTACAGCACTTGTGATCAGCCCGTAGATAACTGTAACGCTGATGGATGCGCCGGTGATAAAGATAGTTGCAGCCTAAGCAATAGTCAGTGTAACAAGCCCAGAAATTATCTACCAGGGACCTACCAAGGAAGAAAAGATAAGCAATGATTTTCCCCATGAGAAAAAAATTGTAGTGACGCCGAAGACAACAGCCAGGAACGTGGAAGCGATACCCAAGATGTAAGCTGAGATTGACCATCGAGAAACCTCATGGTACCCAGCAAGAACCTTGTTATTTTCGTCTGGCAGCATATCCTCAATAGTCGGGGAAATTGAACCAAAAATGCTCAGCAAGTCGAAAGAGAAGGAGGTACTTGGCTGTGAGCAATTGGAATAGGACACCGTTTCCTTCTGGCCTTGACAATATCCCCAAAGCCCCACAGAGTAGAAACCTGGAAGATGTGACTTGATTTCGTCGGAGAAGGACTGAACCTTAGCAGTAGCTTGGCTCACTGCAGTCTCTGCGGCACCCGAGGCGTAAATTACGGCAGTCGAAGCGCTGCTTACAACGCTGTTCGCCTCATTACTGGCTGTTTTTGAGAGATCAGATGCGTCCACTCCGGCGATACTGAGGGAGCGACGTAGATGAAAGCTCCCAAGATCCGGGAAATCAGTCAAGTTCACCTGTTGTTCTGACATAAGCTAATCATTCGTTCATTTTATGGGACCTTGGCTTACCCTTAGGAAATACAATTCATTTGGAGATGAGGTTGATGTGCATCCTACAAAGACGATGACCAGGCAGATCAATGCCGATGAAGTGAATACCAAAGGAAGTAGCTTTCCTACGTACCAGATCATCTTTTCCTGCCAGGGAAATACGTCCAGAAGGGGTTTGAATGCTATAGCAAGAGCGTCCTTGCTGTAAGACTCCCCCAAGCACATGGAAATTATACGCCTTTTATAAGAAGCATTAGCATAGGAAAATGAAAATAAGTTGGAAATTATAGAAGTCTCCATCAAAAGCAACCGTTAAAGCACTGCCGCGTTTTTGCGCCGTTCGCGACTGAGAATAGGGAGGGGCCCTCAAGAATTTGTCTGCAGCTACTTTCAGCTTCCTCTCGTATATCTAGCCAAGGCGAGTGACCTCGCATTGTACTCGATACTCCAGAGCTATCATTCTCTTGCTCAGCATGGCATCAGCATGGCAAGAGAAAAGTGAGTAGCATTCTGGGTTATGTACGAGCAGGCTAACCAGAGTGAAAAAAATTGTCTCCCTCCACTTTCTCTGCGGAAACACGGACCACCACTCACTTTCTATGTAATTAGAGGCATCCCAGCAGCACATCGTATCTATATTGATGTCTGTCTTGAAAATATAAGTCGTGACAGTATATCCAGAGAAAGCGTCTTGTGCCAGCAAAGCATTCAAGTAGTCCAGCCCGTTGTGGAAGTCAGCCCCAACCAAACCCTGCTCACTGAATTCAACATGCCGCGCTTCACTCAAGCTCAAGTGGAAGACGATGAGAGCAAGTTATTTGCCTATCGTGAGGAACATTTTAAGATGGCCGCACGTGTTGATATATCTCGCCTTGTGTTCGACAAAACCTTCAAACGGCAAATGAGCAACCGCCAAAATATTGATCGACTCGAGCGAATTATGAGCACTCAGGGGTGCCATCGTCTCATGGATGAGTGCCATGTTCCAGTGCTAGTTTCTGCAAGAGATTGGGGAAGTCGCGTTAGACCACGGACGGTAGATGGCCAGTTTCAACAACTGGACGTGGATATTGACTACGAGCTGCGAGGATTGGACCACGAAAGTTTGATTATTGCTGCCCGGAATAGGCTGCGCCCTACCAACCAATGGTGGATTGTGGATGTATACGTAACGGAGCCAATGGGTTCGTCGCTAAGTTTATCTATACCTCGACTTTACTATGTCTGACCGGTTGGAAGCTAGTGAGCAGCCTTTGCAGAAGGAATTTATTCGCTCGCTCCAGGAGCGCTTTCCGAATGATCACAGACCTTCGGATGGACTGATATATCAACGGATTCGATATTATGAAGGATATCTTGATGGCCCTATAAACACCAATGCAGCAAATCAATGGTGGGCTACCCTGGAAAGGGTTTCTGGAAGCAAGAAGAGCAAATACCTGCGAGCATTTCTCAAGCACCCAACCCTACCTCAGGCCTTTGATGAGCTGCTTCCTATCGCTGGTATTTGGGAAGGCATGAAGATCGGGGTACTTCATAAGCTGGTGGCAATGCGGTGTGATGAGGTAAGTTTTGAGAGCAGTATCACCGCCTGAGGTTCATAGCAAGCTGACTGACTGACTGTACCAGCCAGTTCTATGCTATCTGGCCCATATCAAGAGAACATTCACCAGTTTGGTGGGGCACCGGGATGACCTTCTGGCACAATTAGATGGAGTGACCATCCAATTGTTAACGTCTCGTGTGCCCAAGATCTCTGTCCGGGACTTGAAATCCCTAGAAGTTAGCATGTTAAAAGAAGAGCTATTCCCTGATATTGATAATGCTCAGGACCGCGTTGAAATTTGGGAACGGTTGAAGAACATTGATTACCCAATTCCGACTTTGGAGACATTCTTCCAAGACAGGCTCACCCTCGAGGTCGGTCGGAGTGTATTACAACAGCTTTGTATCCCCGATCCTCAGCGAAGGCTCACACTTGACGAGGGACTCAGCGAGCAGTATGACACTACCATTCCTGATCTGACTTCAGATCGACAGCATCGGATTCGGAGGGAGCTTTTTGAGTTTTGGCGTTTCAGCTTTCAGTACGGATTTGATATGACGAATCATCAGCGCCTAGTACCGCGAACAGAATCTCGAACCCAACGCACAGCGGTACTGGGATCGACAGAAAGTCAGAATACGCCCGATAGGTTGAACCTCTGGCAACATCTATTCTGGTTGGCCAGTGAAAGCCGATTTCGCACTCCTTCTGTGGATGGAACCAGTGGTCATCTAGCTGAACTACCTCCCCTCATACCATGTGACTATCCCGTAAGTGTTGAAGAAGAGCTACCGGTAGAGCGAAGGTGCGGGAAGCCATATGCGGATTCGGTGGACGCAGACCGGTTTGCGCTCTCACGGGAGGCATTGGAACGCCCTCCAGTCACTTCGGGATTTGCTCAACGATCGGTTTTTTTGGCCTTTTTCCGTTATCTCAAAGATGATTCTGAAAGCCGTTCCTTTACAGGAGACTCTCCAGAAGTGAACAATACTTCTGGGACTGAATTTTTTACAGGAGTAATCAATCCGGACGAGAGGATACCAAGTCCAGTTACTGCGCCGCAAGAGAACACCATGCCTTCGCCTCCCATCTTGGCTACCCCACAATTTGACCCCATATTAGAGTCTCTAGCTCTTAACTTCCAGCCGACTTGCTTTACAATGATATTTGTTCTCCCTGGCGAGCCCGAGAAGGCCGCAGAGCTACCAAACGATCAGTCTACCCTGAATACGTTCTTCGAGGAACTCAGAAAGCAGAATTTCTACATTTATTCCCCCGATAACCCCGCACGGGGTATAAACGACAGGGAGTGCTATTCAATATACTTCAAGAACCCGCTCTTGAAATTGCATGCCGAGTTTATAGGGGAAGAATCCTTTATAACAATGCTGTACCAGCCAGTGGAGGAATCAGGAACAACAGGGCGCAAAAGACGACGTAGGGATGACATTTTTGGAATTGGCGAAGTCAAAAGATGGTTGGATGAAAGACTCAACGGGCTTATCTCAGTGAATCATGCGTCCCAGTTTGCGATTCAGCTCCCCGAATGAAAACAGCGGGGCTTAAAATGTGTTAGTTTTAGACTATACTTGTTCTCATCGTGCTCAGCAGCTTCCTAGTCTAGCTTCAAAACTTTCTGCGATAACTAAAGCCTCAATTTTGCATAAATTTTTGATTCTATCGGAATAAATTATATCCAGGATACTACAGGACAAGCTGGTTGTATATTTTGCAGGTCCACTCATAGATAAATGGTGCCTAGAGATGAGGCAAGTAAGTACCGGTGAAATTCGACCGACAAAGAGATTACTAGCATATGGAGAGACTTTTAGTGGACAGCCCTTAAACTTAGCAGAGCGTATTAAACTGAAAATCAACCCTCAAAAAGAAATTGAATGAGATTATCGGTATCGCACTAGGCGAAGCTCGAAGATCAAAAGTATAACGCGAGCGAGTATTTATTGACTTTCATGATAGAGTGGTACTAGCAAAAGAAGAGTCATATCCAAAAGGGTTTGATTATTGAGCTTTTTCTCGAACATATTTGACTGGTCAACTTCAATCCATATCTGGAAATGATTGAAACTCAAGCCTTGGAGAGGAAAGATGAAGCAAAATATGAAGCAAACTATCAGTATAACTAGAATTTTCTGGGGATTTTACAAGTCAAGCAACGCCCTCTTTGGGAAAGAGAGCGCGAGGGAAATGAGAAAGTGTGATAAATCAAAAGCAGAGCCTACTTGACGCATGGTAAATGGGGTTCTTGTCAGGTATATCTGCCCTGTGCCTGATATATGGTGGAAATATGAATGACTAATGTGGGGTATGCCTAGTCTCAATATCATGTTATTCAACTAATCGCTGGTTCCTGCTTTTTGAAATTAGCATCCTATTTTATACGCCTTCCTGCGTGCGTAAGCATACAGAACAGCCAAGAGGGGTATCCTTGTCCTTCTACGGAGGTATAGATGAACCTCATCTCAGCTGAAGCCTCTATGTGCATCAAGGCGGGTGGTGGTAACATGTGTCGTGAAATGGAAAAACAAGAGATATTAATAGTGCTATGTACCACTACCTTGAGTTGACGAAGGTTTCATGGTAACAATAGCTGTAGTGGAAGAGTGTACAGTATTCGTTAAGGGACCCTGTCGAATAGCATTCTCAATCGTTCACACATGTTCATTGCTATGTATTGAATGTACATAGTAAATCATGTCTTCGAAGGCCTATATTTGCCATTTTGAAAATGACGTCACTCTTCTAACAGCTACAGCTCACAGTCGATCACACTCATGATGGCCGTCACTGGCCAAACAGCTCCGAAGTAGCATAAAAAATTGTGTTTCCTGCCAAGCCTGGTAGATGCAATATGTGCAGGAGGTTCCCTCCGGGCCCTCAACTTTCTGCCGGTCTATTCGCGCTAATTTATCCCTCAGTTTCTGCCCTGCTGTTGAAGTTTGTAGCGGTAATACCTCTATCCTTTTATTACCATGAGCTTATAGACCTCCTTAACCTGACCAGGTTATACTTTAATACGGACGTTGTCTAAAAAAGTCGCATAATGACTATATCGCTTGGCATCTACCCTCTGCGGCTACAGATCATTGTCAGAATAATTCCAGGCCACCCTCAAGAAAACTATGTCGATAAACCATGTCTGAAAGTATGCTCTGGTGCATACAACTTATATTTAGAGCCGCGCAGTGTGCTCTTCATCTCGTTTAAGTCAAGATACTCTGTCATTCTTGTGGTGTTTCGAAGATGCATTTTTTCTTAATTGCAATTCTAGCTATGATCCACGCAGGCACTTCCCAAGCCGGGACCCTTGAGGTCATAGATTATGATGGACATTGTCTGATATGGTCTAACGATAATTATGGCTGCACGGGTTACTCTGCGTCTTTTGGCCTTCTTGGTGGAGCTGATTGTTCAGGTAAGCCCCTTCCATTAAAGCCTAAGACGGCTATTAACAAATTTATAGAGCTAAGTGAGGTCGTCAAGGGCAATCGTCCCGAATTGAATATGCTCAGTGTCGACGTATGCGGTACAGAAGACGGCTCGCCTGTTGCTTGGATCCAGGTGAATCACACGGGACGGGTCACCTTTACCAATAAAGCTGGGAACCAAGCGTCATGTGTACTCAATGATGGATTGAAGACTGGTAGTTGGTGTGTTACAATTGAGAAAAAGGACAAAACGAATTCGCCCTCCTACTCATCTACCGGCACTCCATCTACCGGCACTCCATCTACCGGCACTCCACCTACCAGCACTCCATCTACCAGCACTCCATCTACCAGCACTCCATCTACCAGCACTCCGAATGACAAACTCCTTACGATCACCAGTTGTTTGGGTCAAAGCTTAAGTAGTCTACTGTAAAAGACTTGTGCGAACGTGCTTCGAAGAGCCAGGCCAGGAATTTGGATTATTTGCATCATGGAATTTATCAAGATTGAGGCCTCAATGAAGCTCATGATCATCATCGCGGCATTTTGTCCTGAAATCCGGCTTGAAAAGGCAGTTATTCATTTGTTTCTTCTGAAATTTTGAGAGTCAAAATTAGGACATGGGAAAGACAGAAGAGTTTCATTGTAATACGGAAACTGGTATGTGGAAGGTCCTAGACAATATTGTCATGGTCTGACTCTATGTAGCTACATCCGTACATTTAGGCGAGACAAATCAATTGCTCGCAATTATGCACATAGTTAAAAATGATCCGCTGTCAGTGGCCTGACTCTCAGTATCATACCAACGTGGGTCTGGGGATAACCGTGCCCTTTGCTTCTAAGATTGAACAGTGAACTCAGGAAGGGCAGGGGTTTGTGTCGGAACGGTGACTGTGTGGGCCAGCCAACCGGTTGTCGCATTTCTATAAAAATCCGCACTCATGAATTACTACTGCACGATTTCACCCCCATTGTATCTTTTACCCATTCGGCCGCCCCTTTAACAGCCACTTCCGATTCATCCTTGAAATCTAGGAGGCAGCTCTGGATTTCAGCTGCTGTGAATTGCTCAGCTGGAACCAATTCAGCGAAATCAATGGACAGGTCCAGGATCTTCTGGGTTTTCAAGGCTCCAGCTAGCTGATTTTTCAATTTGCGAGTCGTAATGTTTGACACACTGGCGAACTCCAATTCAATGAATGGTTTGTAGATGAGACAAAAATGCTTTCAATACTGCTTTTATCCGCATACCCAAAGTTAAACACCTTATCCACACGACTAGGGCGAGTCAAAGCAGCGTCAAGTTTGTCAGGGTGATTAGTCGTCATGATGAGAATTCGACCTTCTTGGGCTCCGACACTATCTAAGCAGTTCAAAAGAGCGAGACGCCGCTATGGCAGATGTCGTTTGTCCTGGCGTTCTCCAGCAAATGACAGTTGTTGGCCGGTGAAGGCAGCTAATTTGTTTCGCTCATAGAGCCATAGAGCCTATTCCTGACGAGGAATTCAAGCGCTCAGACAGGGAAGAGAGGTCTCTTTGCTTTTAGGAAGGTCTGTGAGTGACTGCGTGTCGTCTTATCATCAAAGCTTAGAGTATACAGAAGCGTATTTCGCGGAGCAGGCAGAGAATGAGAAAGGTAAGCTATTCTTTTCTCTCTATTTCAGAAGAATCTTAGCTGACTACTAGTTTGTTCGAATAGATTACTCAAAGCGAGATCATACAATACTGTATATCCTTCGCAGCAGGCGGCTTTTACTGAAGAACAGAAAACGTGGTCTCGCGCGTGATTTAACCGAGAGAATGATCTCACCACGGTGACTGTACTGGCTGAGAATTTGAAGTAGGACTGAATACATCCATTTACTGACGAGACGGTCGGCCTAGTAATCCGAAACTATGGGGCCGACGCATATTCCGGAAAACAAGGATACAAAACGCCAGCATATTGCATCAAAAGGCCAAAGCGGCTTGGTGCATTTGGTGCCTGAGGCATGATCGACTCCAGGGGGTGAGTAAGCTGGTAAACATTCCGCCCTGACGGGCCACTCCGCGACAGCGAACCCATATGATGTAGACTTCGATTACCTGCTGAATACTTATTTCAACAAGCAATGGAAGAAACTATCGCAGAGCTGCGACGTCAACTTGAAAAAGGAGAGACAGGCGCGAGAAGGGGCGGAGCGCCGTGAGGAAGAAGAGAGACTGGCGCGAGAAGAGGCAGAGCGCCGTGAGGAAGAAGAGAGACTGGCGCGAGAAGAGACAGAACGGGAACTCCAACCCAACAACCTGTTCCGCCTCCTCGATCGCTGCCATGACTCTCTGTCCCAAGCGATCCGAGTCGAGACGGATGCGACCCTCACGACTCAGGGCAACGCGACCGACCCAGTGAACCGACTTTACCCCAAGCGCATAGTCCCTTGGCCTGACTTCCCCCAGCTCCAAGAGCAAGTCTGGAGCAAATTCGACCGCACCGCTGCCTTTACCTCGCGCCTACTATTCCCTACCGATACCCAAATCGATTACGTTGCCACGAATATCCAGAACAACCCGATCTATTCAGAAACCTCGCTTCGGAATTTTGAGTGAGACACTGTCGATAACTTTGTCGAAAAGATTGTTAATACTTTGCGAGACGATGATGCCCTTTGCCATGAGTTTGGAATCCAAGGCCGAGTGACCTTCTATGATCGCGCAAACCCATCGGAAAATTTGCTCGAGAACAGCCTGGGGCAAATGAGTCTTCAGGATACGCAGACACCCCAAAGGCCGGCAACACTAGGCGTGGAAGAGGCAGAGGAAAAGCGAGAGGAGCGGCGCAGAGACAGAAGGATGGCACTTCACGAAAACGCAATCGACGCGCCGACCAATTCTGTGTGCATACTGTGGCCGATGAACGACAAATACCGGTTCATGCAGTGGAGTTCAAAGCGCCACATAAAATGACGATATCCGAACTAGTGGCTGGTCTACACCATATAGATCTGGCCCGGGATGTCATTGACCAGGAGGGCGACACATTTGAGTTTTATGCCACCTGCCTCGTCGCCGCTGTGGTCACTCAGATATTCTCATATATGATCGATAGTGGGGTTCAATACGGCTACATCTGCACGGGAGAAGCTTTTGTTTTTCTCCATATCCCGGAGGATGATCCCACAGTTGTTCAATATTTCATGTGTATCCCGAACCAGGACGTGCAGGCGGACGATGAATTGCGCCTCCACCGGACCGCCATCGGTCAGGTGCTTGCATTCACCCTTCAAGCGCTAGCCGCCGAAGCTCCGTCTCAAGAGTGGCATGATGCGGCACACGATAAGCTAAAGACCTGGGAGGTCGAATACCTGGATGTGTTGAGAAAAATCCCCGAGACTCTCCGTAAAGATCCGCGAGCCTCCAATTATCGACCCTCGCACTGGAAACTAGAGCCGAAGACGCACAATACACGATCCCGTGCTCGCTGCAAACCAGACATGTCTACTCCAAAGCATTCGTCGACCGAAGGCAGCGGCAGTGATGAAGAATTGCATTCGCCATCAATCGCTGCAGCGGCTCGCAGCAGGTCGAGTCGTGGCCGAGGCAACAACCGCCAATCAACTAAGGAAAGCGAAAGCACACGAGCCGGCAAACAGACCTCTCGAAAAGATGGGCAATCTACACGACCCTACTGCACAATTGCCTGCATCCGCGGCATCGTCAACCGAGAACCTCTGGATAAAGAATGCCCCAACTGGAAACTCCACGGCGGCCAGAGACACTCTATAAGACCGCAGGAGTTCACACGCCGGCTTCACCGTCAATTTGCCCGAAACCGAAACCATGGGTTTGAACAGCTTCACGTCTGTGGTCGGACAGGAAACCTCATCAAAGCTACCCTTCTATCACACGGGTACACTGTGGTCATTAAAGCTACCACAATGGAGAAGCAGCATCGCCTTCAAGCGGAGGCAAACAATTATCGTCACCTCAGGAGCTTGCAAGGAAATCAGATCCCCGTCTGTCTTGGGACATTCACGCCACGAGTCTCATATTGGTACCATGGAGAATTAATGGCGCAGATGATGATACTGAGCTGGGCTGGAAAACGTCTTCAGCATGTCATCAACGATGAGAATTCCAGATTCTTTCACCAGGAGCGCGACAAAGCTCTGACCGTGCTCCGGTCGCATGGAGTTGTCCATGGCGACAGTGAGTGGCGCAACATGCTGTGGGATGACCTGGGTGTTCGTTTATTTGTCATTGACCTGGAGGAAGTGAAATGGTTAAAGCGCCCTCGGGCTCTTGAACCAACCTCTGGCAACATGCGGCATGGTCATCGCGTCGGGGTGAGGAAGAGCAGGAAAAAGCTCCTGTCCAGCTCAACTGCTGTCTGCTCATGATGGCCCCCGGACCCATAGACCACTGCGTCAGTTGACGTTACGTCTACACCTTAGATCACTCGTGATACCTGGGGAAAGGGGTACAGCGTTAGATTCACAAGTCGAACAAGGAAATGAAAGCCCTAGGGATAATACATGAAGACCTTAGGTGAGACAATGCCCTTTGGAGTGAAGAGCTTGGGCGTGCTTTGATCATCGACTTTCACCGCTCTACTTTGAAATATCGACCGACTCTGCAGCGACCGGGGCAGCAAAACGACGACTATGTCGAGCTGAGACAGAAGACGCAAAAATTCTTCGTGTGTCGTGAGAAGGAAATCCACTTTCTACCTGTTAAACTAGCGATCTTATTCTTGATACCCACATTTCTGTCGTCATCCATTTATTTCGAGGCGGAATGCCCTTCTATATATGCTTCGACACCACCGAGTCATGAGGCGAGCCGGGCTTCCGAACTTGAGGCTTTTTCCAATGATATGCCATTATGAAAGCATCGAAAAGGTTCATTTAATTTCAATACCTAGCTAAGACTGTCGTGTACTAACCAAAAATATTGCGATAAGCGCCCAACCGCTCGAGGAACGAGATTATCCACATGACTTTCCCAGATATGCTGTTAGACATACATTCCATCAGCAGGCCTCTCTCTGCCAAACTCCTTTGAGAATTTTTTATTTGATTCGGCGGCTAACTTCAAGTATTTGTAGTTCACCTGGTTGAGGTCAGCCGCAGCGAGAGCGTGTGCAATAGCTGCGACGTTTTTGATCTGGTTCATGGGTCAGCAAGTGAGATAGATGTTCAGTACCACTCGGACACCCACCTCTCGTCCATTCAGAGCTAAAGTCTCCAATCGTCGGAGTTCGTGCTCCTCAACAATGGCAGGTCCTTGCATCGTACATGCCTTGGACAGAAAAGTTGACCAGAGATCTCTGCGAAACTCTCTCGTTAAATTCTCATACTCAATGATCAAATGGATCCGGCTGAGAATCGCGTCATCAAACTGGATACCCCGATTTGAAGTCAAGAAAAGAATTCCTTGATAATATTCCAGCTTTCGGAGAAAAATGGTCACAAGGCGATTGTGGGTATCGTGGTATGATGTACGCTGCTCCATGAACGCGTCTGCCTCATCCAAGAGAAGCACGGCATTAAAGTGTTTGGCGATCTTGAATACTGTTTCAAGTTGTTGCTCAAGCGCATTGGAATCCCCGTGGTTGACAACAAGTTCGCCTGCAGATATCTGGAAAAATCAGTGACGCCAAAATCAGCCGAGCTGGATGGTTCATACAGAATAGAGGGGGAGCTTGAAATACTCTGAGGTTGCCTCAACCGTGAAAGTCTTTCCGACTCCCGGTGGGCCACTAGTACAAGTTAGGTTGGGAAGTCTTCATATCATAGACGCTTTGCCAACATACTTCAGAAGAATGTTGAATCCTTGGCCCTTTCCATCAATTACGTCGTCGAACGGTACCGTCGGTATGAGACCCAGTCGAGTTTTCGCCAATGACAATAGGAGGGTCTTAGTCTCTGAGGGGATCTTCAGGCAGTCGAACGATTCAGGTGACCAGTCCACGTCCTTAAGAGCACTAACTGCGCACTCCACTGGAATCACATTAGCCGGACACCAAACCATTGTCAGTCGTGTCACATACAGAACATTTTCTCCTTGAAACTGAAACAGCAAACTGTTGGGCAGGCGACCAGTAAATCGGCTTCGCTCAGCTTTTGCGCATCCACACTGTCTCCTCGTATTTTCTCCTTCTCTCGCTCACGGTCCTCCATGAGCATTGCACCAATGCTAAAGACTGCAATTCCAACCTTATCCTTGACCCCAATGTCGCGGAGTGACGGTCAGGAGTAGTTTGGCTGCATTTCATGGAAAAATGCGGCGTCCACTGCCACTCGACTGTTGATGTTGACTTTGATAGCCTTCCCCTTGTTCATAAAGAATGCGCTGCCTTTACAGTGCCGAACGTGTGAGCCGGCCAAATCCCGAAACTTTTGGCCCCTCTCGATCAGGTTTTTCCGGGCTTGCTCGTGGTTTGGATGGTGGTGGAGAGGGAGTTAAGGAGAGCGATTAACTAGTACTAGTATAAGGAGATAGTCTTAAGATAGTAGCCCTTATTATAGATTATATAGTAGAAGGAGGCTGTAACCTTAGTATAGAACTAGTAGGATTTATATACTATAGCCTTATTTAGTATAGATAGGCTAGTAGCCTATTCCTAGAGCTCGCTAAGTTCTATTATAGTAGCGTCGATACTAGTAGGGGGAGGGGTAACTAGGCTATTAGTAGTATTATTAGTATAGTTAGTAATAGTAGTATTAGCGTTAGTAGTATTAGGCTACTTATTACTATCCTATAGGGTTTATAGGCCTACTAGTATCGCCCCTATACCGCCTCTATTACTAGAGAGTAAAAGGGTAGTAATATTGTTAATATTAGAAGTGTCTTTATCTATACTAGCCTTAGTAGTAGTAAGATCTAGCGCTATTAGGTTAGTCTCTTTATAAGTAGCTTTCTAAGGATAGCTAGTAGGATTACTATCTTTATTAATCTCTATAGTAGTATAGGTAGCCTATATATTATATAATAATAGGACTATAGTATAGGCTAATAATATTTAGTTAGTTAGATAGTAGCTAAGGAATATATTTAAATTATCTAGTAACTTAAGTATAATAAGCTTTTGCTTAGAGTTACTAGTATAGGACTTAGTACTATAGAATAGCTAGATTATAAGCGCGTTACTAAAGTGTTAATTAATCTCTAGGAGCTATATATTAATTAAGGTAGAAGGTACTAGGATTAGGGAAGGCTAGTATAGAGGCTAAGATTAGACTAGCGCTACTTAGTAGATAAGTATTAGTATAGTAAGTATATTTCCTAAGCTATAGGTATTAACTAGGATACTACCTTATAGTAGGCTAGCTTCCTACTAAAGTATCTAGGAAACCCTAGTAACCTACTAGGGCTTAAGAGTAGTAGGATAGACTAGGTATAAGGAGACTAGGGTAAGTACTAGTAGCCCTATATTATTAATAGAAAGTTAGGTATATTAGATAGCGGTATTAAATAGGTATATTAGGTAGTTAAAGGATATATCCTAGGTAGATATAAATATAGTAGGGTTAGCTATTAGTATTAGCCTATTATTAATAGAACTAGTATAGCTAAGAGAAGAGTTAGGGATTAAGAGCGCTACTAATATAGAGCTCGCTAAGATTATAGTCTAGAGCTATAGGTTATTTAGTAGGCTAGGGGGAACCTTATTAAAAGTAGTATAGAGAACTAAGCTAGTAAAGAACTTAGAGCTATAGAGGTAGTAGTAGAGGTTGTGTATATTAGATAGTATAAGAGGCGCGCGGTTTAGGTATATAGTGGTTAGTTAGAGTAGTTAAGTAGTAAGTCCTACTACTAGGTTATAGTATTTAGGCTCTAAAGGGATAGTCTTTATTATACTAATAAGCGGTTTATTATTAGTATTATTATAGGGGTCTATAGGGTAGAGTTTAAGGAGTTCTAGAAGGGCTTATAAATTATCTTAGGACTAGGCTAACGTACTATAGGTAGGGATAGTAGTAGAACTAGTAGCGCTAGACTAGGATATAGTTAGCTCTAGTAGTATAGTAGGGTAGATATAAGGGGTAGTAGTAAGGTAGGCTATAATACTCTTTATCTTAGTAATTTACTAGGAGAAGTAGGTAAGGAGCTTTTAGTAGATTAGGGTCTCTTTAGTATTAAAGTAGAATAGGGCTTTAAAAAGCTAGCTATATTAACTAAGATCCTACGAGTAAGATAGAAGTAGGTAGTAGATATACTATAGTATACGAAGGTTAAATATATTAGTTAGCTCTATATATAGGGTAAAGAGATCTAAGGGGGATAGGGATAGTAGGACGCTAGTGTATTTGCCTATATAGTAAACTATAAGGAGGATTAAGGAGTTATAGATAATATAGTAACCTAGAGAGACCTATACTAAGTTAGTAAAGCCGAATTTATTATTATAGTTATAGTAGAAGTTAAGGATAATATCCTAGGTCTTAGTATAGTCTAAGTTAATAAGATAGAATAGGTTCTGTATATTTAGATAGTTAAGGATACCTACGATAGTAGGAGCGGAATTATCTATATAATAGATAGTAGTAGTAGAGATATTAATAGTACTAACGTTCTCTAAAGACGCCTCCTTACCCTTAGATTATACTATATCTAGATATAGGAGATATAACTAAATATAGAAAGGGTAGAAACTAGTACTTAGTTAGCTTATCGAGGTTAAATTAGAGAGGGGGTAATATAAGGTATATATAGAATAAGAAGGTAGTAGAAAAGATAACTAATAAAGACTAGATTACTAACCTTAGTTAAAGATAATTAATTAAATATAGGTACTAAGTATAGTAATTAAGTGTAGTGACTAAGCGTAGTACCTAAGGTAGTGATTAAGTATAGTAGGGTCTAATTAAAAGTAGGGGAAATATAGGGGAAGGATTGCTAGGAGGTTAATAGGGGTTTAAATACTTAGATAAGATAAATTTACTTAGATAAGAGTTAGCGGCTAGAAAGACCTAAGGTTAGAGAAAATATAGGAGAAGGATTACTAGGAGGTTAATAGGGGTTTAAATACCTAGATAAGATAAATTTACTTAGATAAGAGTTAGTAGCTAAAAGGACCTAAGGTTAGGGAAAATATAGGAGAAGGATTACTAGGAGGTTAATAGGGGTTTAAATACTTAGATAAGATAAATTTGCTAGGATAAAAGTTAGTAGCTAGAAGGACTAGAGGTTAAGGAAAATATAGGAGAAGGATTAATAAGAGGGGAAGCTACTTAATATATCCTATATTAGGAATTATTTATATAAGGAAGATAGGATATTAGGTAAAGTTAGGATATAGTTTCTAACTAAGGTTAGAAACTATCTATAGGACTATTAGAAGCTATATAGATAAATTATTTAAATACTATACCTACTACTTATAACTTTTTATCTTAATTTTCTAACTAAGATTAGTAATTATACTTTTATAGTAATTTGCTATAGTTTTAAGAGGTTAGTATTATTTATATACTTAACGTCTATATATTTAACTAGACCTTTTAGTAAGGCTTTCTAACTATAGTTAGCTATTTTACTTATATAGGTAGTAATATCTACCTTATACTCTTCTACTATAAGTACTACTATACTTCTTAACTAGATTTTCTAACTATAGTTAGAAAGTATATCTAAACGAAACTTAGTATTCTAGGCTTTATATAGTTGTTTTTTCGTAAAAAAAAGAAGTACCCCGCTATATACTTAATAGGTAAATATATAAAAGAAACTTAGCGTTTTAGGCTTTATATAGTCTTTTTTCGCGAAAAAAAGAAGTACCTTACTATATATTTAATAGCTAAACGTATAAAAGAAACTTAGTATTTTAGGCTTTATATAGTCTTTTTTCGCGAAAAAAAGAAGTACCCTATTGTATACTTAATAGCCTAATATCTAAAAGAAACTGATTCTTTTAGTCTTTTAATAGTGTTTTTCGTTATAAGTCTAGTATAGGGTGATTGAAACTACTATATATAAATACTCTAGTAAAGAATTTACTTAGCTTTCCCTAAGACTAGTATACTAGCTATAATTTCGACCTCTATTATCTTAGTTAGTTTATTATAATATTAATAGCTAGTAGTAAGCCTAGTGTATATAAGGCGATTAATTAATCCTTTACCTTTACTACTATATTAAACCTTAATAGTTAGTATATATAGTCGATTTAGGAAGGCCTTACTCTAATTAAAAGCCTATTATTTAAGGACGTTTACCTAGCTATATTAATAATCTAGGATTACGCTTATAGAGTTATAGGGGATATTATAAGATTATTATAGGAGGTATATAACTTTATTAAATAAGGGGAGTTTTAGAGGATATATAAAGAAAGCTTAGAATTATTCTAAGACTTATAGTAGGTTATATAGGATATAGTAAAGGTTTAAGAAGGACTTAATTAGTTTAAAGTAAATATATATAAGCGAGCGATTCTCTAGTAGGGGGAGCTATAGGCTAATACTCTTCTTAGGTATATAGGTAGCTATATAATGTTATAGAAGGTTAGTAAGTCTATTAGTAAAGGACTATCCTACTTTAACCTCTAAGCTACTATTAATAACGCTATTATATATTAGAAGTCTAGATGTGGTTGTGGTATTTACTAGTATACTCGAATTATATAAATTAATCTTAATATTATACTAGTATAGTAGAATTTAGTACCCCTTAACCCTTAAATACTATATATGTTAGGGCTTAGAATAGATATAGATAGATTTATTTGTTCTATTAGCTTAGGTTACCTAATGTAGTTAGCGATACTTATACTATTAGTATAGGCTAGGGGGGGTATAAATACTATAAATATACCTAGATCCTTACTAAAGAGACCTTATAATAATATACTATTATTAGTATTATTACTACTATTGTCTTTATTATTAACCCTTTCTCTACTATCTAATAGCGAGTAGTATAAGAACGATAAGGATAATAATAGCGAGGGGGATAGTAGCGATAGCGATAAGGATAATAAGGACGATAATAGTGACGAGGATAGTAAGGATAACCTCCTTTGCTTTTAAAAGTAGCTATATCCTAATCCTATAAACCTTTTAGCTAGCTGTAGCTGTGCTTTAATATATACGGCGATTAGGTATCTTCTTAGGGGGATAGAGCTCCTAATTAATACCCTTAAGAAGTAGCTGCTTTAATAGGTTAGAAAAGTAATAATAACTTA